TTACCTTGCTTCAGCAAGGCAAGAGGGTGTTAAGAGAGATCTTAAGCGTGCAGGATATTATTCTAACCCTAATTTCACTGGTGAATGAACCTCTCAGGTGTGCAGCCGGGGCTTGGTCTTCTTTATTGAAGGAAACCATTTCTTTAACTGAAGCCAGAAGGACATTTCTTCCATCTAAGTTTTACCTTACCAATGCTATGAAAATCTCTTCCCTCTATCCATGCCAAGCATATTTGGTGTACAAGGAGGTGACCCTCTGTGTCGTAATGATCTCATCCTTTAGAATTTCACTGAGCTGTGAAAAACTTTTGAACAAAGCTAGTGAAGTGTTGTCAGAACTTTTGGAGAAGACTTCAATAGATTTGCTGAATTCTTTACTCAATTCAGCTGAAGTGAAACAAGAGCTCAAGTTTGAACTTCTGGACTGGTTGTTCAGTGATGATTTCTGCTCAAACTCTACGCATGGAGATTCAAGTAGTTCTTATCACATGACTTCAATGGTTGAAATCTTTTCTGTGAGTTGTGAAGCTATGTCTGAAGCAAGATTATTGTTGCTTGGCAGGATTGCATTGTTTCATAATTTACTAAGATATTCTATGGATCTTGAAGATGACATAAAGATCAAGATCACCAGAAAACTCAGATGGTTTCTGGATATGTTAGTTGTTGAAGATGTATACTCCTCTGTTCTTGATTTGCAGATTCCTGTGCCATATGGTTCAGGGAAAACACTGGAATTGATTTGGCAACCTATGTTTTCAGCTCTTTTGCATGCACTAAAAACCTTCATGATTGTGGTGTCTTCAAGTTTTGCCTGGGCAGAATTTGAGGCTTTCCTGCTTGAAAATCTTTTCCATCCACATTTTCTTTGCTGGGAGATTGTAATGGAACTTTGGTGCTTCTTAGTGCGTTATGCTGAAATGGACGTGGTGAATGGCATCATTGATAAACTTTGCTCATTAATGAAGCTACTGGAATCTCCAGAATCAGTTCTTATTCCAGGTTCCCCTCTGAGGAAAGTGGCAAGGATAATCTGCCTGCTTGCTAAAAGTACACCTATGGCAGACTATGTTTACAGCTCTGTTGTTGGTGACGGAAGATCTCAATTGTCATCAGTTCTGTATGCAGCCTTACTCTTGGAAGGGTTCCCTCTAAATTCACTATCAGATAACATTAGAGGTACTGCAAAACAGAAGATCATTACTGACTACTTTGGCTTCATAGGGAGTTTTGATGAGAAAGTGTTGACTACTTGTAGTTCTGGTGCATTTGGGATTCCAGTTCATGCTCTATCTGCTTCCTTGCAGGCACAGTGAGTAACCAGTTTCATTTATTTACATATAACATATAAGTTGTTCTGATAAAATGGAAAAGGAACTCTCTCATTTACATTTTGCAATCCTGACCAAACTATGAAGCTTATACAATGCCTCTAACATTTATAGTTCTCAAGTAGTTTTTCATATATAGGATTAAAATCAGAGCCTCACCATCCCCTTTTTGCTGTTGCAGCGCTTCTGTCACTCTTATGTGATGATTGATTCCTTCTTTTATTTTCAAACCATTTTATCTTATTCTTAACGTAGTCTTGCCAATGGTATCACCAAACTTTTCTGAATGATCCTCTAGTTTGAAATCATAAATACGTGAGAGAAACCCTAAACAGATTAATCCTTATCCCTATTTTTTTTTATTAGCTAAAATAATGACAAAACTTTATGTTTTCTAGGCAGGTTAGCATATCTGATCTTGATGTGAAGACCCTAAAATTTTTGGTGGCTATAATTCGTAACTTCAGAAACCCTGTCGAGAAAATAATGAAGGAACACTGTCATAAGCTTTTAAGTGAAATGTTGGGAATTGTTTCAAATATGAAGCATCTATACAAATCTGATGAGATGGAGGGAGTCCTATTGGAGCTTCAAAACCTGTTTGTCTCAGGGCCAGCAGCATCAAATACCCAATTATATCAATGCAAACCATATCTTGCTCTTTTTATGGGAGGACTTGGAGATATGGAGATGAGAGAGAGTGATAATTGTGCAAAAAGCTCTGCTGTGTGGGAGTTGTATCACATGCTATTCAGGGAGCGGCATTGGGCACTTGTCCATCTTGCAATTGCAGCATTTGGATATTTTGCTGCTCGTACTACTTGCAATCAGCTATGGAGATTTGTGCCACAAAATGCATCGCTTTCTTATGATCTGATGACAGGGAATGAAGCAAGCGAGGAGAGGTTTATGTCTGAGTTGAAGGCATTTCTGGATAAGGAAACAGCTCTTCTCACCACTACACCTAGCTTTGAGCAGCTTGAGTTGCTAGTGAAGGAAGGTGTGGTGCTGAAAGAAATGGTTCAGAAGATTTCAGGTATAGATGCTATGGAATGTCAAAGTATGGAGATTGATGTTGACAACGTACCAAACAAGAGAAGGAGACTCCCTGATGGAATCAGCAAGGGATTGGAATTACTCCAGAGTGGTCTGAAGGTTATTGGTGATAGTATTTCTCAGTGGCAGGAAAATCACTGTGAATCCTCCGAACTTCATGACAAGTTTTCGAGCCACCTTTCTCGCCTTGAAGATGTCGTTGCTCACTTGACAGGCTTGGCTGGTAAAGGTTAAGTTCCATTTTCTAGTTCTCCAGTGGAAAATTGTCTCCAGAGGACGAAGGACCAAATTACTGACTTCTAATTGTACAGGTACTGCAGGAATGAATGTAAATAAAAGAATTAAGTACTGAGCAGGTATGTTTATTTGCCTCCTCTTCTCTGATTTTTTATAGTACAAGCTTAAATTTAACGTGCTATGAAAATGGCATCACTTCTCCCTCTCAAGTATAGCGTTTGAAAGAATTAACCCGTGTAGCGGACCCATAATCACAGTAATTAGAAACTCCAAGTGCTATAAATTTAACAGAAACGAGTATTAATTCTTAATTATAGATTTGTCATTGCAATCATGTTTGCTTGAGGAAACCTGATGGACAAGAAATGAAGACTTCTCTATTTAGTTTTTTTTTTTTTTTTACCTAGAACTGGATTTTTTAGGTTTCACTTTCTTATTATTAAGTTATTCCTTGATTAATTACTGGAGTTTTTTTTACATGCAATAAATATGTTGGCAGCTTATGCTCTCCCATATGCTTGGAATATAGGCTGTCAGTAAATGCAATGTTTAATCTGGCTCACTAAACCAGTTCAACAAGATCTTATGGTTATAATGCTCAATCCTTTAGCGAATGAAAGTAAATTACATTTGGTTGCTAAAGGATTAAAAGAACAGCTTACCATTATCTCTATCTTTATCTTTATCTTTATATATATATATGTATGTATGTATGTATGTATTATTTTTAAGTAATAATCTTATTAGTTAATGTAAATATTTTTAACATGTATTATGTGATTTAATATAGTTAAAGGGAAAGACAGAAATCTTAATGAATTATATAAAAAAGCAAATCTATATATTTAAATAAAACAAGAATGTAGTAATAAAATGGGCCGTTAGCCCATTGTTTTTCATATTCTTGTAAAATCAAAGAGAATCAATTTTGTCCTTCGCTAGTGACCTAGCTCATCCTACAGCACTAGGCATGCTTTCCTAGGTCAGTGGGCTTAGCTTTTCCTTGTTTCAGTACCGGGTTTCTGTGTGTCAATCTAATATGGATATTTATAGCGCATTAGCATTTGCGAAGCCATGGGCTAATCTAGGGGCAGTGGCGAAGCCGATTTATTCATTTATTTGGATGAAAGGAAGCAAATCCGTTTCAAGGGAAAAAACGAACCCGTAAAGGCTTCCTCTCGCGCAAACACAAAGGTGTTATTAATTTTTGACTTGTTATTTCCATTACAAGTCATATTTTATTCAAACAAAAAAAATTATATTTTTCTACACTGATTCTATTTCCATTTATACTTTTCAATTCAGTATAATTGAGTTGATTAATATATCAAACATGGGTAATATATCTTCTTTTTTTTAACTTCTGACTATTTTTAAAAAAAAATTAATTAATACCCTTTCCTTCATTTTTTTATTTTTTTCTTTACATGAGTTTTTTATTTAAGTTTTAATTAATATCCCTTGTTTAGTTCATTTTTTTAATTTCATGATGCTTCGAAGCTATTGTTATAATTTATCTTTCTTGTATTTTATATAAATAAATTATATTTGCATGATATATTTATAAAAAAATTATTTATTTTTAGCAACCAAAATTAACCTTTAAGAATAGATAAAAGTGTATAAAATAAAAAGACAATCAAGCTAAAATATTTGAAATTATTTACTCTTTGCTTCTACTAAAAAAGAATAGCTTTCTACTTTAGTATTTAATTAATGATAAGGATTCTTTTATTTTTTTTATCAGTTTATATATAGATTTAATTTATTTTATTAAGCATAAATAATATCTGTTTGTTAATTTAATTTATTAAGCATAAATAATATCTGTTTGTTTCTTAATTTAAAAAAATCATGATACCCAAAAAATACATCCACAATGACAAAACTTTTTATAAAAAAGATTAATTTAAAATCCTATCTAAAACACAGCACAAATTTGAGAAGTTGTCGAAACTAAAGTAAATTAGGAAGTCCGCGAGGCAAATTACATTTCATTTTAAGAATAGAGAAGAGCTAAACGACCGAGCTTATGAAATTATTTTAACCGATACAAGATTAGAGCTCAGCTCGGAACCTTGACTCTGTATTTGCTGTGCTTAGGGCGCAGCCTAGATTATGTATATGCGTTTTTTAATTGTACATTTTATATGTAAAGGAATAAATAGTACTAGGCCAAGGAACATATAGACATGTACCAACAAATAAATAAATAAATGTTATTTAACCTTAACACCAGTCATTATCATGGTAATGCATACTTTTTTAAATTATAGAAAAGTTTATAGATACCAAAAAAAATATGTATTAAAAAAGGTAAACAAATCTCTATTCTGATACGAAGAGATTTCGTCGATAATCAGGCTTTCCAAATACATATAAACTATACCAACGGTTTTCAACTTTAAATGGTAATCTCTTGAATCAGGAGGGCGGTGGATTGGAGTCAAGTCCTACCCTTATCATCGATTTAACAAATCTATCTGCCAGCCTATATTCAGTCTTCGAGATTTTCATCTCACAAGTCTCAAAAATGAAGGTTCTCACTAACATTTTTCTTTTAGTAAGCCTGGCCATAGGCATCATTTTCATGTCAACATATCAACCAGAATATTTCTATGGACTAGAGTACGATGTTCGTGTCATCAATGGGTTTAGAAACAACTCATCACTGCCACTGGTCATATGGTGCTCATCAAACAATGATGATCTCGGCGGACGTGCCCTCCAGGAAGGTGATGATTTCAGTTGGAGCCTGAAGACCAGCTTCTGGGGCACTACTCATTTCTTGTGCACCATGAAGTGGGATGCAATGAGGAGGAAATTTGATGCCTTTAAGGTTCCAAGGGATCTTCAGCGTTGCAGCCTTTTCAGGAAGTGCTCTTGGTCGGTGAGAGAGGATGGGTTCTATTTCAGCAATGATGAAGTAAACTGGAAGAAAGACTTCTCATGGTTATAATTATATGTTTTCATTTTCTGGGCAACATGGCTTCTTTGCTGTTGCTAAAATCATTAATCATGTACTTTCGAGGATTTGCAAATCTAAAGATGCAATAGTCATCAGCATTTGGCAATATATATGTTAGCAATATTGCAGTAGTCATGTTTATTGCAGGAGAGTATTATTAATAGAAATTCTCAACTTTGTTTTTCAATAATTAAATTAGTGTTCGCCTGAATTACAAGTTTTTCTTCGATCGCTTGCACCCACGAGTTTTTCTTCTATATGAAACAATTAGATTTTGTTTGGAACGTGTTTTTAGGAGTTTATTTTTTTATGATATATTGATATTAAAAATATTTTTTAAAAAATAAAAAATATATTATTTTAATATATTTTTAAATAAAAAATATTTTAAAAAATAATTATTATCATATTTGTAAAGATCTTCTTAGAATCAAGATGTGAAATTGTTTTTAAAATAGTTTTTCACTTTAAAATACTTTAATATAATGTTTTTATTTCTGATATAAACACATGAAAATTAAAAAAAATACTAAAAAAATATGAATTTATTTTTTAAAATTTAAAATATTTTTAAAAAACACATAAATATAACACTCTCGAACGCACCGGAATGTTGTATCGTTTTTCTAATCAGTACTCAATTGTCTATAAACACAAGACAAAAGCACATTCCTGCAAAATACAGTAACCGGACTAAATTGATATTTCATTTTATTAATAACCACTATACTTATAAATAAATATCAAGGATACCAGTAATGGAGTTTTTTTTTTTTTCCCTCTCTCTCCTTTCACGGTACATAAAAGGAACTTAATGCAAAAGAGGGACACTGTTTTTCATCCATCAACCTGTAAAGAGCATACTGTGTTGAGAATGATGATATAAATAAAAGAATCTAATTTCAAATCGGATAAGTTCTTTTTTAGTTTAATTTTTAGAGAATTGTATGAAATATAATAACTAGGAAATACTTAGTCCCTGAAATGTCTTGGTACATGAATAAATATATTAATTATGATATGATAACAATCAATGTATTTATGAATTTTCATTAACCATGAATATTCACAAATTATGAGTAATTAATATTTTGATTCTCAAAACAACCCTGTAAATAGAAATCTTGGTTGTCTAGAGAGACATTCGGAAATTTCTTGAATTCTTGTTGGACGTTATATATAAGAAAATATGGAAATTTCAATTACTAATAAAGAAAGAAAATATATAAAAGAAAATTATTGCTGGACTTTATAACTTTCTATAGTTGCAAGTTTTTCAATATTATATATGCTTCTCTACGTACAGAAGATATCTACTGCATATATTTTGATAAATGATAGCTTTACACTGTCGAAAGAAATTTGCTTTCTCTTAATACATCATGGCCGCTGATTGGATCCACTCTCTTCTCTTCTTCAGCTTTGCACTCTGTGTTTTGAGTGCGAGACCAAATGAAGATCAGCCCGAGCAGAATCTACCAACTGTTCAAATCATCAATTCTTTGCCACCGAACTCACCACCACTGAATGTCAGCTGTTCTTCCAAGAACTTCAAATTGGGTGCGCGCTCATTTTCTGTGGGTGAAGCCTACGAATTTAAAGTAAAGGAAAAGGATATATATTTCTGCGCAGCTCAATGGGAAAGATATTTTGAATCGTGGCATGGTTTTGAACCACATAGAGATGAGAATCATGGAACTGTGTATTGGTTGGTGAAGAAAGATGGGTTCTATCGTAGCTGGGATAAAGCCAGTTGGGTGCTGGAAGATCCATGGGAAACCGAGTGATTTCTTATGCTCGTGTTTGCTGTATTGTCGGAGCAAGTGCATTAATCTAGCACATACAATTCTATCTAACAATAATAATAATAAATTTATAGTTATTGCCACTTGTATTATTTGACGTAACCGTACTGCACTGTGCATAGTATTTCGAATTCATTTTGAATGCAAGATAAGAAGACACTGTCATTATGGATTTGTTTTTTAAATATCATGAATTCTTTTAACTAATTAAGAAATGGAAAGATATGTTTGTGTTTAATATAATAAATTAAAAAATTGCATTACTTGATAAGTTAATTTTGAATGATAATTAAAGATAAGAGTAAAAAGTTAATTTTCTCAAGTAAATAGTTAAAGATAAATATAAATGCAAATATTTTACATATTATTTTTGTTCTCAACTATAATAAATTAAAACATCTTTTTTATTTTTTTAATCTATCTTGGTTGCTAAATACATATTATTTTTGTTCTTATAAATGCGTAATACAAATATAACTCAATTTTAAATTTAGCAGGAGGAGAAATTATGTATAAATTACAATAAGATAAACTTTTGGAGGTGCTACCCACAAATTTTATTGCTATTTTAAAAAATAGTTAAACTAAATAATCTAAAAAGTTTGAGAGAGGATATTAATTAAAAATAAAATTAAAAAACAAAAGTAGAAAAATCAAGGGTTGTTGGGCATAAAAGATACGTAAAACGGATTCTTTTCTTTTTTTTTAAAGAAAAAATAAACAAGTTGCTTTTTATAAAAAAAAAATTAATCAAGCAACATGCTTATATTTTTAATTTGGATTAAAAAACTTATTTTTAATTTATTTTTACTTAAAAACACTTCAAAAGCATTTTCTTTGCACCTTGATAAGTCTCTTTTTAACGTCAAAACATCCTTTAATTATTTTAGAAACAAATAACTCAATCAAATCAAAAAACAATTATGAGGCTTGATCTTCTTTCTATCAAGTATATCCAAAGATCATAACCATCACTTTCACTGAACTCCTATCTCCAATGCAAATCAATTAGCGCTAAAATCAAGCTTTTTATAGTTAAAATATGGCCAGACTGACCCTTCCTCTATCCTCTCCCCTTTTCAATGATTTGTCTTTCATAACCCAAGAAATAATGCCTTGGTAAGCAAGAAACGAAAGGGATATTAAAAGGTGTGTTCATGGCTGCTCGTTTCCTACTCTCACGTGTTGGAATTGCAGTTCTAAAATTTAATCATGAATCTCTTTAATGTGTTAACTAGCATGCACAGGGTCAATAAATTGGATTAACAGTAGCGTCTCCTTTTAAAAGAAAAAATTAATCCGGACCTTTCTTTTATATATAAAATAAATTCTATGATAAAAATAAAATAAAATTATATTAACAGTTCACTCAACTGAATTTTGATCTAAGTTTGTTTGGTAATATAATTATAATTGTTTTTTAAATATTTTTTTGTATTAAAATACATATTAATAATTTTTTATTTTTTAAAAAATATTTTTGACATTAACATATCAAAATGATTTAAAAAAACTAAAAAGATATTAATTTGAGGTAAATAAAAAATAAAAAAAATTAATTTTTTTTAAATATTTTTAAAACATAAAAATAAATAGTGCGAAAACTTTTATAGTAATTAAGAAGAAATTTTATGATGTTAATATAATAACCAAGTGATATTTCATTACTATCTTTTAGTTTTTTGAAAGTGGGTTTTTGGAATAATTAATAAAATATTACTAATTATTCTCTTTTTTTTCTTATTTCCTAATCTTTCGATTTATAGGTGTAAGATTAATTATTCCAAAAACCTATCTTCATTTGGTTCAAATATTGTACTTTACCAAATATTATTTTTTTTAAATAATATTTTTTTCAAATATCTAACTTATCAAACAAAGAAATTGATTTCTGTGATTAACATACTTTTTAGTTATTATTACTTATAATTAATATTAAGGTCATTATATTATAAGACAATACTACAACTTCAGCTATAATACATAATTGACAGTATAAGATCTTGGGGACCAAAAAACTTGGTATCATGATTCATTAAAATCTGCCATATGATCCACCGATTTAATGTTAATTATGTCAAACAAATTACATACCTTTAACTCCGCATATTGGATGACTTTTCTTGAGCAACCAACCCATCCATGCTAAATTGAGCCCATCTTCAACTCCGCAGGATCATAATTGCATATGCCTCCCTTAATTTCCACTGCTTAGCAACCCACCTCCCCAACAGTCTGTGGATATTTAATTGGTGTTTCTTCGTCCCATAAGAGATTACTCCACTTGTTCTTCGTTGGTGTTGGCCCGTTAGGTATAACTATTTAGACTGTCATCATGGAATCATGGTCACGGTCCCTTTATCCATGAACACTTGAGTGATTCGAACCGCATGCCGGGAAAGTTTTGTCTGGGAGAATTAATATTTAATTATATAAGAATTATGATTTCAAAACGGTACTTATCCTTTACTCAACAACATATAGAGCCGCGCAAAAAGAAAAGGAAATGTCTCTTTCCTTCCTTGATTCCCTTTTCATGTTGCGTGTTTTATAAAAAGAAATGGCGAAACTCGGTCTTTGTGTTATCTTGGCTCACTTCAACAATGCAGAGTATAAAAAAGATATGCAGTATATAGAAATATGTTTGATTAGGAAGATGAGAAATGGAAACAAAATAAATATATTTTATGATGATATTTTAATGGATTTCTGCTTTTTTTAAAAGAAATAAAAGATACGAAAGAAACATGTTTTCTTTATCTATATTTGTCTATCTCGATTTAATAACTAAATCTTTATATATACTCTACAAAAAAGAAATTATTGCTAAGTTTCTAATTCCCTCTAAACTTTTTTATTCTAGCGGAAACAATCATTCGTACATTTTTTTGAACTCACTATTTAAATAAACTCAGTTAAAACTTCAAAATTAATTCCAATATTTCAAAGTTCTTATAAAAAGGATAGCAGACTAATCAGGCAGAGAGCACCACTCCTAACAAAATGACTTATTGGATCAACTTTCTTCTCTTCCTTGTTCTCCAACTGTGCTTTTTGAGTGCTGCAACAACAAATGAGCATGATGACCATCCTTTACCCACTGTTCACGTCATCAATGCCTTGCCTAAGAGCTCAAAAGCAATGAATGTCAGGTGCTCATCCAACAATATTGATATCGGAGAGCAGTCACTTGTCAATGGTGAAGTCTACAAATGGAGGGTGTCACAGAGGAAGCTACACTACTGTGTAGCTATCTGGGAAAGATTTTTTGCATCCTGGCATGCATTTCAACCTCGTAGAGATGGGGATCATGAAACTCTGTTTTGGATGGTGGAAGAAGATGGGTTCTTTATTAGTTGGGATAAAGCCAACTGGGTGAGAAAATACAGATGGGAAACTGAGTGATTTTTAGTTTCCACTCTCGTACCGAATGCATTTATATCCGTAGATTACTTACCTTATTGTCGTTGAATTGGTTTGGAAAATAAGCGTGTACGTACAATATTATGAATATAATATTTGTATCAGAGAGTTCAGGTTGTCAATGTGATTGCAGTTTCATATCAAATGGTTGTATGGTTTTTAATTTCTTTTTTATTGATTAATAATTAATATCTAATTCATAGCAAAACATTTCATATTAATCAAACTCAAGCTTGAACTCATGAATCCAAAGACCCGTAACTCAATCTACAAAACTGTTTTGGATTTAAAACTTTAGTTATTCAAATGTTTTTTGGGAATTATTTTTTATTAATCTTTAATTAGCTTTTTAAAATATATTTATATTTCTTGTTAAAAAACTCAAACATGGTTTTAACGCAAAATATAAGTGAATCTCACATTTGATTTAGACTTAAAAATATCTTGTTACATTCAAATTGCCCATTTCTCCATTGAAGTTGGTTTACCAAGTCCACCTCTTGAATCTGGCAACAGGCATGCCCATATAAGAAATTTGGATAGCAATGTCTAAAGAATCGCTTCTCGCATCCATATATGAAGGGACATTTTAGTAAGATTTCACCATAGCAACCAACACCATCAGAAAGTTATGTTAACCTCGTAAATTATAATCAGAGGAGATAGAGAGTAACAGTAGCTATAATTCAGACTTTACAGCTATATATAGCTTATAAATTAAAATTACTGGCAGGAGAAATAACTGGAACTGGTATCCAGGGAGTACTCATGAAACTTTATCACATCAAGATCTGTAAAATACATGTATTGGGTGGGGGGGTGTTGGGGGGTTGGTACTTCTATCTGTACAAAAGGTCGAGCCTATACTGATTGCAAGACAAAATACAGATTTTGAGAGTAACATCAATTACCCTCATGAGCCATAACGGAAAAGGTAAGGATCTTTTCTGATCAAAAAATGTACATGATGTAATCACTTGCTGTTGCAAATCATAACAGGAAGAACCAGCACCAAAAAACCATCTCAGTTAATAAAATCTGGGAAATGGTCACCTATTTTCGTGAAATATCATCTTTCCACGGAAAATCATAAGTCGAAGACAGAGTCAAATTACCTTCTCTCTCGTTAGACTCAATAAGCATCAACACAACTTCCCGCATTGATGGCCGATCAAAAGGTGACATACTCGTGCAAAGTAGAGCAATTTTCAATGCACTAATCATGTGAGCAACAGTGCTTTGGTCTTCAAGGTCCAATCGATCATCTAGTATCCCGGGTGTCAATGAATGGTCCCGAACATAATGTCTTGCCCATGTCACAAGATCACCTCCTTGATCTAGTGGCTGTACAGGAGTTTTTCCAGTTAGCAACTCCAATAGAACAACTCCATAACTATAGATGTCACATTTTTCAGTAACTTTCATTGTGTACGCATATTCTGCAGTGAATAAGAGGCAAGCCACGAATAAGTTAGAAGCTTATAATCTCTTCTCTAACATCCATTGAGTTTGACTTTGCTAAGCAGATGGTGTGTGAATGTTAAGAACATATTATAACAGAAATGAAAGTTTTCTTCTCCGATAAACAAAGTTGACATCTACTACTTTTTTCATTTAGTTAAACGATCTCCCATGTTCAAAGTGGCCAAGTGCAGCAAGGCATAAAGTAGAGCAGTATATATCAGCAGCAGAGATATATCAAGAAAATAAATAACTGATACAACCTTAAAAAGAAATAAAATCATCATTAACAAAAGAAAGATATTTTTATTAAATCTGAATTGAGGAAGGGCTCACCAGGTGCAATATACCCATATGATCCTGCGACTGCTGACATGGATTTGGACTGGGGCATGTCAATCACTTTTGCCAAACCAAAATCACCAACATGGGCTTCAAAGTTATCATCTAGTAGAATATTATTTGACTTTATGTCACGGTGAATAATAATTGGTTTGCAGTCATGATGTAAATAAGCAAGACCTTCAGCAGCTCCAAGAGCAACCATGAATCGAGTTGACCATTCCAAGCTACAAGAGGGCCCATGAAGCAGTTCACCCAAGCTCCCCCTAGCCAAGTACTCATAAAGAAGCAGATTGGAACCTTCATGATAGCAGAAGCCATAAAGTTTCACAATATTTCGGTGCCTAATCTTTCCGAGAGTCAGAATCTCAGCCTGAAAACTGTTCTCAATGTTACTCCCCTCCCTATCAGAAGCAAGCTTTTTCACAGCAATGGTTTTCCCAGAACGCATTACTGCCTTATAGACCGTTCCACAAGCTCCCCTTCCAACAACATAACTGTCATGAAAATTGTTGGTGGCCTGAACCAGATCTTGGAAAGTGATTCCGTCCTTTAGAGGGAAGTAGATATCTGATTCTGGAGATGGATTCTCTTTATCATGTACGGAAGAGGCTGTCGCAGTGGGATGTCTCATTAAATATAGTATCACTATAATCAGAATGAGAGAAACACCACCAACAACGGCTGCAACAATTGTGATGATCCTACCTCGAGCATCCATATTTTTCTGAGGAACAGAACCAGAAGATGTATCTCCACTGCAGTAGCCAAGAGGCCCACCACAAAGCCCTTTGTTTCCAAGAAAGCTGCTGATGGCCATGTTCTGAAATAGTGATACGGAAGGCAAAGACCCAGTGAGGTCATTGTACGAGAAATTGCATCCCAGTAAACTTGACAGATTTTCAAATGTTTTGGGAATCTCACCGGTCAAATGATTGTTATTAAGCAGGAGGAATTCCAGTAAATTAAGATTGCCAAGCTCTGGTGGTATGCTGCCAGTAAGACTATTATAACTGAGATTCATTGCAATCTGCAAGCTTGAAAGCAAGCCCAATGAGGGAGGAATTTGACCAGAAAATGAGTTGCCACCAATCTGCAATTCAGTCAAACGGGAGAGATTTCCTAATGCCAGGGGTATATTTCCAGAGAATTTATTTTCTGAAAGCCTAAGAAGCTCCAATTGAAGAAGAGTTCCGAGCTCATCTGGTAAAGCATCAGAAAAGCTGTTGTGGCTGAGATCGAGTCGTTGAAGCATCTTGCAGTTAACAACTTCGGGTGGAATCTTTCCAGTGAGCAAATTTGATGATGCATTAAAAGTCACAAGTTGAGACAGATTACCTAATTCCTTTGGCAACTCTGAAGTAAAGTAATTATTTGCAATATGAAGTCTTTGCAACCTTCGACAGTTCCCAATCTCTGGTGGAAGTGGACCAGTGAACATGTTCTGGTTCAGTTCAATAGCAGAAAGGTTCACCAATTTGCACAACTCTGAAGGAAAACCACCTGTTAACTTATTTCCAACAAGACGAAGTTGTACCAATGTTTGGCAGTTCAGAACCCCAGTCGGGATATTTCCATAAAGCCTGTTAGAATCCAGATTCAGCAAAATCAGATTAGAATGACGGCAAAGATGAGGAGGTATTCTTCCAGTCAGATCATTATCTGAAAAATCAACCACCCAGAGTTGGCTATAAAGTCCAAGCCCCTGAGGAATGCCACCACTCAGAGAGTTGTTAAAAAGCTGTAACTGAAGCATTTCAGTCAAATATTGAAACCCAAAAGGAATAGGACCAGTGAGGTGATTAATTGAGAGGTCAAGCTTAGTCAGGTTTCCCAAGATACTAAGCTCATTCGGTATGACACCAGTAAGTTGGTTCTGGAAGAGGTACAAAAGTCGTAGACCCTTTATCTTACTGAACTCAATTGGGATCTTGCCAGTCAAAAAATTCTCTGAGAAATCAATTTCTGTTGCCATTGAAAGATTCCCAATTTCTCTTGGAATAGTTCCATTCAATCCATTCCGATAGAGGTACAGCTTCTTCAGAAACTTCAGGTTCCCAATTTCCATTGGTATTGGTCCATCAAGGGCATTTGCATATAGAGCAAGTGTCTCAAGGTTTGTACAGTTCCCAAGCTCTTTTGGTATTAACCCCGAGATCTGGTTCTCCCATAAAATCAATTCGGTTAAGTTCCCGAGCATCCCAAGCTCCTTTGGCAGCTCCCCTCCAATTTTATTTTGGGCAAGACCAAGCATTTTCAAGCTTTGACAACCACTTATTTCAGCAGGAATACTACCAGAAATTTGATTCTGCCCTGCACGGATTGTTTTCAAATTCTTAAGATTCCTTATAGAACGAGGCAACGGGCCAGTCAGCTTGTTGGTATAAGCCACAAACTCAACCAATGAAGACAATCCGCCTAACTCCTCTGGAACTGAACCAGATATCTGGTTGTTGCATATATTCAAACGTTCAAGAAAAGACAATCTACCCAGTTCAGCAGGAATTTCCCCACTCAACTGATTGTTATTCAAATAAAAGGATTGCAACAGGGAACAATTTCCGATCGTTTTGGGTATATCTCCGGTGATTTCATTGTAAGAAAGATCAAAATATCTTAGGTTGACCAAACCACCAATACTGTGGCTCAGCGTCCCAGAAAGATTCATTGAGCTCAAACCAAGAGACCAGACCACAGGGTCATAATCTGAAGTGCACCTCACGCCAGTCCAGCTGCATGGTGTCTGATCAGTGGACTTCCAATTCTGCAGATGATTGAACTCGTCATGGAGGGCATTCTTCAGCTCTAGGAGGTGATGCCCTTCAGAATTCAACCCCTCTGTGGTAAATATCAATAGGAAGGTAACGAGCAAAATTCCAGCAAGCCCCAATTCAAATACTGCACTTGATCTGAAATATGCTGACATATTGGTATCCCTCCACCTTATTGAAATTTCAGAATAATACCATCATTTAAACACCTGCACATCACGGGATACTTTAGAAATTTGGATCACAATTGTGAATTGTCAAAGAACCAAATCTATGACAAACATCAACCAAATAGTGCAACATTTAACAACTGGAAGAAGAATGGGAACTCTAAAACGATTGTGGTATTTTTTTTATAATGAGAAATTGTTTAACAAAACATTCTCCTGTTAAAAGGAACTCAACTGT